GTTGCATTTATTGCAATATTTTCTCTGAATGAGGATCGTTGTTTGTCTGTCGCTAGGTTTGTGCTCTTTTCTACCTATCTTTTGACAGGTGGATATTACTGCCTGTATTTTCTATGTGTGTTCACTAATTTTGAAAGAGGAAATGTTCTCTGCATTTTGCATAATGGTGTTTTGAAGAAGATTTGTTTATCTTTATTGTCTTGCTTATAATCTGGAGTCACAATCAGTTACACTTGACTAGATAGCGAACTCTCAATTCTCCAGCTTTTTTCCTCGTCCAGTTCCTTTCCCGTTACAGTAATCACTAGCCGTACATAATTACGCTCAAAGAAGCACAGGCGAGGAAGATCGTCTCAGTGGTCATTGAAAGGTAGCTCCCGTCTTAAAAGAAGTGGTCACGGAAATTCCTATGGAGACGATAGGGAAAGTGACATAGTGGATTGGGTAGGGGTCCTACCCAATGGGACGACAGGTGACGCTTCAGGGCAGTGGCCGAACCCACTTCCGGTTCGGCGTTACACCTCCTTATCAGACGTGGAAGGGGATGCAGTAGCAGCGTGCTAGATATGATACGGTTATCGTTATCGTTCGATTTTCATGCTGGAGTGCACCTCATTCCAAGCAGCCGTATCTTCTTATCTAATCGTATCGTATCTTCCATAGGGTTACGCTCGTCCAACCACTATCTATCTCCGACCTTATCGGTTGATAACGCGGAGTTCGGCGATCCACGTGGAAGCCAGCGTGATCGCTTCCTTTAAACTGATACCGTTGAAATAGGAAAACGAAAGGTGCCAAGTTGTGCTCCGTAAAGAAAAATGGTCGAAAACCCGATGAATGGAAACCTCTTACGCCTTTTGATTTTGAAAGTGGATGGGCTTACCGATAATACAGAGATCGTTCGGACGAAGCTGAACACTGGCATCATGACAGCGACGGTTGATAGACAATTGCTGCTTCGATGGTGGGTGCAATAGTGCACATAGGAAGGAATATCAAACGATGGCAGAGACTGTTCACTCTCATTAGGTTGCCGTTATTATACCTTCCACTCACCGAAGTTAGGCATTCCTGAAAACCGAAGGAGCTTTCTGGCATTTTCGGCGCCGTTGATGGCATGCCTTCGGCGGCGAAGATGCCACCTTCTGTTTAGCCATTCCTTTACCCGCTCCTTTACTTCGATTCTCTTTTCTTGGACAATCGGTTTTATCGCAACTTTTGTCTAGAAAGACACGGATTGCGATCGAATTGATTTTTTAATTTGAAAATTATTCAAGAAATTCGAAAAGAATTCATGGTGTGATAAAGCAAAGTACCATAGAAAGCACTGAAATTTTCTCTTGAGGTTGACGTGGTAGACGGAGAGGCACGGTGAGAGGGAAAACACGGGGGAGCACGTCGTACGCCAGTGAGCGTAAACGCATCGTATGCTAAGATAGTTAAGAATTACAGCGGTAACGCGAGGGCATTACCTCCCTTGACGAGCACTTTCAAGTCAGGACAGTGCCACTGTAATTAAAAGTGCTGCCACATCGCTCAACGAGAGAATTTCTTCAAGGACGTAATCGTGACTCGAGCCGTTAAAGGCAAATGGATGCGGAACACCCATTGTGCCCTTGAGCAGTAGTATCAGCATCTAGCGCCTTATGATATCATTCAGCCACTTGGAGGCGGGGCCCATGGAGCTGGTGGTTATTTGAGTAATGTCTTGCTTGACCGCTACGGGCGCACTCCTTTTCCGCGAAAACGCCCCATCTCGTTCTTGACATTAGGGGCCTGGCATTTCTCCACGGTGGACATGTTTTCCACTCTCTGCCTTTAATGATTCGTTTTAATTGTTTTTGGTGATGCCAAAATTTTCAGAAATGGGCTAGTGTGCTCAATCCAGACGACTCATGGGGACCGGCCTTAGCGGTTCACAGAGCTGAACAGTTCCCACTTCAAATTCCGGAAGCTCGCCGTCTTCTTATCTCTCCTGAAGTCGAAGTTATTGGAAGTCGAACTGGGGTGAGTTTATGGATTCAGTAAATATGCGCAGATTCACGGAAGTTGTACTCGCTCACATCTTCTCACATTTCTTTCTATTTTCCTTCGTTTTCCCAGAGTATTCCTTCAGTTCACCCTGTCAATTCTCTACGCGTTTGAGTTGGGGGTTGGAGGAAGTGTAAACCGTGGCGTTAGGCCGATCTCAAAATTTTAGCACCTCTTCCTCGTAGAGGGGTCTTGATACGACTCCCTCTCTGAAGTCTGGAGAAGCAGTGAATTCCTTCAACTTTCTCTGTTTTGCATTCCCCAAAGTTATCAAAAACCCGTCAAAAACGACCCCATTCCCCTCTCGCAACCACTAAAATGCGACTCCCCTCCTCGACATAGTGACCTTTTCTTTTCGGCCGGAGATGGAACTTGCTTAGAAGTGTAGCGAAATCGTGTTTTTTTTAAATGTAATCTGATCGTAGGAAAATTACTTTGCGATATGGCTAACGCTTCATTGAGAAGGATTCCCTTCAGATAACAGTCATTTCGTTTAGTTGAACGAAGAGAAAGATGGTGTTCCAACGGACGTACAGCGTGACGAAGGCCGTACAGTGAGCACCGCTGTGTCAGGAAGGGCGAGAAGTGCAGCTCCCACAATCAATAGTATGTGTGCGACTTTTGAACGGGAAACGGCTATTTAATAGCCCTTTGGTAATTAATTCTTTTTTATATCTTCTAATAACTCAGCGTTATGCCGCTGTTACCAGTCTAGTCTTTAGTCTCTTTCCTTCCAGCTCACCTTCCTCCACTCTTTCTGACATGTGCACAGTGCTGTTGTTTATATCAGAAAGCTACTGGTAGCGTTTGGGGGTCAAATTAAGCGTGTGGTACCTTTTATTTCGTATATTTTGTTTTGATTGCTCAAAATTTGTTAGAAAAGATATCTGTAACTGCCCACTCAAGTACCCTAACTTCTTTTTTTACCCTATGGACTTCAAGTCATTGATGCACCCAGGCTGGTGTTAGTCCCAATTATATGTGCAGTCAATGTGCAAGTTTTTAATAATCAGGTTTCCGGCTTTAGCTATTCTCTGTTTTTCTTCTTTTCTTTTTTTTTTACCTCATGGGCTTTTTTTTTCAAAAAACGGAACACATTAAATGTGAGCTTCATCTTCTTTATGCATCTCCTTTAGGTTATAATTTCCATTGCTAGTTTCCATGTTGTTTTTCTACACTAAGACACCATTCATGCTCTTGTGGAAGTTTTCATTCGAAGTTAGATTAGCCTGTGGATATATCAAATTTAGTACATGAATTGCCATTTATTATTATTATTATTATTATTATTATTATTCACCTAATTTGCATCGGATTCAAAGGCAGTGGGCCGTTTTTGTCAGCGGAATATCCATAATGACAGTGATCGTGATGGTTGAGGGTGGTGTGGTTTTGGTATGGTAAAAGTAGCGTTGGGAGGTGGTCCCAACCGTATTCCCCGCTTGCTGAGAGGTCTAATCCATCTAAGACCGTATTACCCTTTAATCGTCGTGATCGCTGCCTTTAATTTTGAAATTCGGAGCTTGATTCTGCTCTCCTTTTCCTCAGTTTTTGATAGGCATTCAACCCTCGTCGAATTCCTCCATTGGATATGAAGCATGTTATTTCTAGAAGGATTAATAAGGATTTTAGATTTTACCTCCTGGAAGCTCCTTAATATGTACCCATGTATTCAATTATCGATTCGAAGCTTTCTCATACTTTCAAGCAAGCGTCATTCTGACCTTTATTTCGGCTTGCATCTTCCGGTGAAACTAACTTAGTAGTACATGACGCCGCTTACCGGAATCAAAGTCAGAAAGTTAAACTTTCATTCCGTTGGGTTGGTTGATACATCTGGATCCTCTAGAGGGATAAAGCAGTATTTTGTCCGCCAGATCTCCCGCGGCGCCTTTGTCTGCCAAATATTCCACTGCATCGATGGCTTCGAATATGAGTCGGATGGGTGATGAGTTTATAAAGGGGTTGATCAGCAACAACAGCTCTACCTTTTATTCTTAACCATTCGTATGCTTGCTGGTTATGTCCTGCAAATTCGAAAAGTGGAATAGGGCTGAACAAGATCTCACGAGATTCGGCCTTCACGCCTATCCTTCCGTGAGCTAATCAATGATTTTCCGGTGATGAAGACTGCCCCTTTTTTCGTTGACACAGAGTACTTGACGTTGAGAGTTGTGTCTTTCCTTGTTTCGGCTCGATATCCAGTATTTTCCACTCTTGTGCCAGTCTCTTCATACTTGAAAGTTAATAAGTTGAGCTTAATGTGTTTCCCGATGCATGCTACCATTTTACTAATCACATTTTCATCTCACATTCTCACCAAACATATTGTACTATTGCTCAAAATTCTTTACTGGCCTTCAAGGTATGTTTTCTTAAGTTATGTGTGCTTTGTAATTTTATTATAGTCATGAAATCGTCTTATTGTGCAAAGCCTGCGTTCTCTCCTTACTTTGTTGCCTGTGAAAATTCTCGAATCAATTGTGCGCTGGGAGGTACGCGATCCACCAGCCGTCTGGTATTGTGTTTCGGTATGTGATAGTTGGATCAAGAGCAAAAATCTCTATGGCTTCCGGATGGTGGATATCGTCCGTCCAGTCCTGCTCCCAATTTTAGCGTTGCCCATGTTTTATGGTCCAAATTGTCACTTTCTTCCCAAAACAGTATTAGCCGTATTGTAAACGATCTTAGATTTATATGAACATTTTGAAAGCTTTAGCTGTTCTCTTTGTCTGGAAAATGTTCGTGGCATAGATATTTATACGGAAGTTACTGTCACTGAAGTAGTGAAAGTGTAGATCTAGAATTGTTTGTACTGTTAGATGATGATATGGAGCTAAAAGAATTTCTAGTGTATAACTCCAAGGAAAGGTGAACCAGCTGAATAAGAAGGATTCATACACATCTGGCAACAGGATTCTTCCTCGCTGACAGCGGAATGGGGTGACCTCACGAAGGAACTTTCAAAAATGGAGGTTTGTATGCATTTATCGTGCTTCCTTCTGATCTGGTAGGCATAACATTCCAAGGGGATTTTTGGGATTTAGAGTATGAAAGGTTTTTACGACTGTTACGCCGAACATTCTTATGCTCTTTTTTTTTCTCACAATTTATTTGCCTATTGGAGATTAGTGTGCTATCATACCTCTGTTTCCATTCAAAAGTAAAATGGACTCGTTGGCCTACATCAATCTTTATTTTTTTAAAGATGCGCCACGCATTGTCAAAATCGAAGTATTTCACTTCGTGTTTGACCAACATACATTACACTCTGGGTTGGTGAGAGGGCAGACAATGTACAATATCAGCGTTAGTGACGTCCTAGTTGGGTCCGGTTTTGAGTAGCCGAGTCGGGAAAAGAGTAGTTCTCGGTGGACTGCGAAATTACTTAGTTCGGCGCCCGTAGTATCGTTTGTAATGTGAGTCTTTTCTAACGTTCCGGAAATAGAACAATGAGCCGCTACCTAAATGAAAAATCTGAAGAAGTAGGGGGGGGGTCACTATATCCCAACCAAAGTGCTCAGGATATCCTGGTTGTATACGGAATCTCGAGTTGATATATCCCTATCTATTCGTACACTCGGAACCTGTGCTCTGAATGTTGATTAGATATGAGTGCCGCTTCCGCAACTACACATGGATAAATACTGTCACCTTGATTATGTAGATAGTTAAGAGTGTTCTGATTAATTAATTGATACGGAACAGTTTCTTTAACAACACTGAACTTCTATAATATCTCATAAGTTTTAGACTGTCACCTATAAGTACATGAAGAAAGCTGTCGGAGCTAACAAAAGTGCAGGAATCATGCCTCAAAACCATAAAGCACGAGCATCACATTCTGAGAAACTTCAGGGAAACATTGCAAAAGTAAGTGCAGTTTTTAACCTTCATTCGTGTTTTGGTTTCACTCCAATGAAGCGCTCTACTGGCCGATGTCAGACTTTGCGAAGTTGGAGCGATTTTGCACCAATTGCAGGAGCGACGGATCGCTTGAGCGATGCGAGCGACGGGAGATTTACGAACTGATGGCGCCGAATTATCGTTGGTAGGCGGTGTAAATCTCCCGTCGCTCGCATCGCTCAAGCGATCCGTCGCTCCTGCAATTGGTGCAAAATCGCTCCAATCGCAAAGTCTGACATCGGCCACTGTAACTATGCAGATCTGCAGGGTGTAGATCAGCTTCTGCACCGTTATGATAAACTATGAATTATCAACTTTAGGGCTGAAGACAGTGCTTCTACTTCGAAGAGAAAGAAGTAGTGGCGAATATTCACAAAGAAATGACTGACATTCTAGCGAGGTTGGAATCAATGAGTCTGAATTGCCAGTGCAAAAAAACGGCTTCTATCTTTCGCTAATTTTGGGTATGACTTTTTGATTCGCTCCTTTTTACTCCATCGAAATGGTCAAATTTTTCAGGAAAAGATCTCAATTTATCCTTGTTAACGAAGAATGATAAATATAAGTACAAAACGGTGCGGTATACATCTTACCAGTATTTGCTATTTTCCAATCTTCTATGGACGACTTTTCATTACTTTTAAACCGTTTTAGGACTACGAGCTTTTTAAGTGGAAAGTAACTTTGGCAATCATATTTGTTGTGGTTCTTTCTTACTTGTTCCCATGGAGAGTGATAGATTCGATTGGGAATTTCCTCTTGGTTTGGTATGTTCATGAACAACTTTTTTTGCTCCTTTTATTTGAATTTTCTGTGCCATGATGTTTGGCATATGCCTCTTTTTCGTCGTAGATCGCTTTACTCGAAAACTTTACACCGCTTAAGGCAAGATTCAGGATTAAATTGATGAGGTAATTCCACTCAAATGTGAAAGTAGGGATGGGAGGTGGACCGCCAGTGGAGAAAAAAGGAAAGAAAATCCTGAAATACACAGGAAATACGAGCATTTTGCTCTACGTGCGGAGAAGTTCAAAAGGCAGGCAGGGAGATGAGAGAATGTGAGCGCGGAGAGCGGTAGAGAAGTCCGAGAAGAGAGAGCATAGCAGATCAACGCGACGCAGACAAGATATCGAACGGTGGGCGGACCATGTTAAGTTTGGTGGAGTCTGTTAGAAGTCCATGGCGCCTAGGGTCCTAGTGACGCGTTTCGATGTAGAAAGGTGGCGCTACCTTTGCACTTGCGTACCCAGCACTTCTAGCCATGGTAAGGGCTTCTTAGGTGGGTCTGAGCCCGAACTTTGCCTTTAAGAGGAATCCCCGTTTTTTTGTCAGATGTTTTTAATTTTGTTGGATTGTATTCTAACATGAAAAATGTGTGAAATCAACTGCCAAAGACAATAGTAATCAGAACCGAGTTGCGAATTGTTAGAATGTCTTTACCGTTTTTCATCCCCTACAGTTCTTGAAGTTTCAAAAAGTCATTCTAGATCTTTTGTAATGCTTGTCATTCCAGGTATTACTGCACGCTTACTATCCGTGAAAATATTCTCAGGATTAATGGATCCCGGTAGGATACTCACTTCGTTTTTTCTTTCCTATTTCTCTACTCATGAACATTGCAATTTAATCTGCAAATAAAACCTGGTGAATTGTAGAATCAAAGGATGGTGGGTGGCACATCATTACTTGTCGTGCGTACTTTGCGGTATTGTGCTAACGTGGAGAGACGGAGAATGCTATCAATTATTCCGTCCTCAGTTTCTTCTGTTCGTATTCTACATAGCATTTCTACAGCTTCTCCAGGTATTTCTGTGTGGCTTTTGCATTTTTGAGTGTTATGGTGTTCATAGCAACATTGTTTGGTCATGTTTCATCTTAGTATCGGCTATCTTTTGGAAAGAAAGACTAACGACGGTTAACAGACATGATGAATGAACTCCTTTCCACTAGACTAAATGCTCAGAACAGTTAACCAAGGGAATTGCTATTCAAAGTCTGTTTATTTTTGCGTATTTCAGTCCCAGTATCAATCTGGCTGTCTCAGACGGCTTCATGCCCTTGGCCAAGGTCACCAGATGGATATTACCGTCGAAGGGTTCAAGAGCTTCATGTTCAAAGGGCTTACTTTCCTCCTCCCATTTTTGGTGGCTGGATATGTGAGTTTCCTCCTTTTACTCCTTTTACAATACTTTTTTATCCACGTAAAGGTGGCTTTCTCGCTAATATTGCGTATATTGAAAATATTTTCAGTTCTTCCAACTCTACAACGCATATACTTTGTGGTACTTGTCCTATGACTGTGAAGGACAGTGGCAGGTTTGTAAAAATTTGTTCTCACTCTAGATAATCGCGTGATTGTCTTGTTCCATTTTTGGCATTCCCTGGGGCACGCGTGAGGGCCATTAAGATTGGCGGTAATCCGATTTTTTTCGCATCGTGCGCTTTCCTATTACATGTTCTGGCTGACCCTGGGCACACGCCAGGGTTACAGATTGGTGGCAGGCCTTTTTTTCGCGTCCAGCCTTTACATGTTCCATTTTGGGAGGCCCAGGGACGGGCGCATATGAGAGTTACAAGGGTTGGCGATCGTCCGCTATTCTTTTTCTCGTCCCTTTTTCGAATCCTATTTTGTGCAGGTTTCCAAGGCTGGTTTAGAATGGTTTTGCTGTTGCCGGAAGTTTCGATCATCCATTTTATATCCTGAAATACAATTTGTTTCGTTCAATCCCGTTTATATGTTTTTAGGTATTTGCGCTCTGCTGTATGTTCTTTATTTTGGCTGTTGGTAACATCACGACGACGAGTATGGTGATCTTGAAGAAGTTGCGTACGTCAAGCTCCTACAACTACATTGTGGGACTGACCACAAAATATCGCCCAGGTGAAACCGAGAAGGAGGAGTAATAGTGAATGCTGCCGCTTCTGAAGAGCAAGCAAATGAGAACAGGTACCAAAGTGTCGAAAAACAATCTCATGAGAGTATCCTCTTTTAAGCTGTTCCGATTACATTTTCGTGCTAGATAAGGAAGGGCTTGGAACAGCTTTGAGCAATTAAAGTAAATGCGAAACCATTCAAGTGAGCAAATGGGGAAATCAAGCTACTTTGTAAACCACCGTAATGTTGGTCTTCTTGCTTTATCAGTAACAATAAACTTTGTTACGGTCTATCCCGCAGCGCGACTGCGCGCATCAGCAGCCGCAAAACTCTTCTTCCCCAGAGTAACTTTCTGTCACAACTTGATCATAACCGAAGAATTTTCAGCTTTGACATCTTGATCTTTGTTGTGTTTCTTACGTTTCTTCATTGTTTTGTTCGTGAGGTGCTTTTTGTGCTATTAATTGACCATAACTTTATTATTGTTTTAATATTATAATTTCAAAGTCTCAGCTTATTGCGAAACGTTTCGGAATCCTTGCTATTTAACACACTGCCTTCACGTGGAGGAGATCCGTTTTTCTTCATTTTTTCGCATATTTCCTATTCAGTCCATTTTGGAAAAACTAAAGCTAAAATGCCATGGTACGAGCACAGCGGCGGTCATCAGTGTGTTAAGGTAGCTACTGTGTTATCTTCTTCTTCTTCTTCTTATTCTTTAGCGTTTGTCCCACCCTGTGGCGGGGTCCGCTTACCTAGCTACTGTGTTATCCATTGCCAAATTTCGGCTTATTGCCAGCATTTTCATGTTTTCTTCATCATGTTTCCAAAGACTAACTTCTAGTTTGTAGATTGTTAGCAGTTTCGATTCCCGGCGACATTTTTATCGCATTTTATCGATAGCATTGCTTATTTCATATGCCGTTGTCTAAGTATGCATTGTAGTCCACCTTCTTTTGAATATATTGTTGATTTTTAGAGAATTTTTTTATTCTCCTAGTTTGGTTATCTCTTACCCGGTTGAAGTTTTACGAGTTTTGTAGTGAATTAAGTCATAGTTGTGATAAAAGAGGTTTAACATATAATTTGAGTACATTTTTATATGCATCACTATAGGAGTATCTAGCAGCTTGTTTCGATAATTCTGAGAAGGACATGAAGAAATTATGAAAATACACTCGGTGAGGGACTGCGTACAGCGTTTCTTCTGCATTTGTCTGTGAAGTGAGGGCCAATAAAATGAACTCCGAAAGTTTTGGGTTTTTCGATCTATCGGCAAAGTGGAGTGTGTTAAAAATTGATCAATATCGCTTTTGCGGTGATCATTACTGTCTAAGGATGTGCCCAGCAGTTTGCTTTCGTCCACAGTCGTAGTGACTTCTTAAAAGCGGAGCTCACGATGAAAGGTAGCCCATCAGAGATCAAGATAGAGGTGGTCATTGGTCAGGGATGAAGAGAAAACAAACCATGTGAAACGACCCAGAAATTGAAAAATGGGACTCCTTTGCTTTTAATTTCCGCATTGATGAGACTCATCGATGCCGCCCTCTTGAACGCTAACGTTTTTTCGGCACTATTACCCTTTACTGCCACTCGTCGCAATCTGAGCCGGATTTCAGTCGCAATTTGTCCATGACTAAGTATTTAACTAGAAAACTGTCTTAGGAGAATTCTTATTCGTAGAACACGAATATCACATCAGGTTAGCGCAAAAATGCCTGACTTACGCACCGCAGCGGCCGGCCATGTTCTACGGGTCAAACTACTCGATCGACAAGTTTCTAGCTAATTCGGTGATCCAAGGTGTTTTGGCGCTTTTTATGGCAGGCGCCAGGCGTTTTAGTACGCCAGGAGAAAAATTTATACCAAATCCACGCTCATGGACAATTTCGGTAAGAATCCGGCTCAGTTGTGGAGGAAAGGGGTAGTAAAGCGTGAATAATGCCGCCTATTCTGCTGAACGGCCGGAGTCTGACGGGAAGAGGGTGGGCAGTCAGCTGCGCTACTGGCGGAGGCATGGTCTGCTATGCCGTTGGTGCGTGCCGTTTACTGCAAAGTTCAAGTTCAAATTCGCTTCTCACTTATATCCTAATCCAACCCAGCTCCTCTCAGAAATCGTCTAGTGGGAAGAAGGGACGCAGAGGATGGACCGTTGCGTTCGCACATTTTCAAAAATACGACCCCACAAATTGACGGGCCTCGATACGACCCACAACCGTCAGCATTACGAAGCTCTCCTTAATACCACCCTCCCCCTATTCCCAATCATCATAGATCGCCATCCACATCATGGCCGTCTGTGTTTGATTTTAAGACAACACGGCCCAACCCCGCCCATTTTTTCTTTCAGAAGCGGCCGTCAAAGGGCGAATGGGGGAGGGGGTTGTTAATATGTCTAATTATAGTTAAGCAGCAAATCCTTCGAACTTCTCTATTCACGCTTTCACGCTGTCTTTTGTAGAATTTTCGCTTAAATCATCTAACCCCCTCTCTCTCACCCCAAATGACCCCTTTTCGACAACCACGACCCCCTCTACTTCTACCTAATACGACCCCTCTATTCGTACTTTTACCGATCGTGGCTAAGCTGCTCAGCCTCAGAATAGATTGCCCCCAATCGCAAATGCCGACCCCCCTTCCTTCGTTACCGGTGTGAATGACGGTTCTTGACCGTGGGCGCAAGAAGCCATTGTATAGGACATTCGAGTACGGTTTCAAATTTGTTTGGTTTTTTTTCAGTCACGTCTACAATCTTCAATATCTATCGAGTGCGTGGCGCGTACTGTGCTGAATACTCCACAGCGCAGCAGTTCGCTCCTTTCGCTATACTCTAATTGTGATGTTTAGATCACAACATTTTTCTTTAGATTTATTGTCCATTCATATTGACGTACGCGAAGTTCCAAGGAACGAGCACTTTGGTGTTATGCTACATATGTTAGATGTGCCAGCAGTGCAGAGTGGAGGTGTACTTCCGGGCGAGATCGTCGCTAGGGTAACCGATGTCGACCAATTTGAGCTATTCAGTATATTTCTTTATACCAGGTCGCTAGAGCGCGCCCTATATCCAAACATTGCATCTGTTATATTTATTTATTTTTATGTCTTAATAATGAAAGGTGAACTCAACTATTATGTAGTGTGTGTGCAAATGACCATCTGAAAAATGTTGTACTGGCGCCACGCACGGTCCAGGGCTCAATCTAGGATCGGATGATGTCTCAGCCAACAAAGTTCCATCCCCACGAGAGCGGTTTATTCATGAAATGCAATTAGGAAAAGTTGGGAGGGGCATAAACAGATATGGACATTAGCTGACCCAGCAACTCATCATGGAGACTGAATCAAATTCAAGTTGTCAACGATCTTGTGGAAAGTAGAATGCATGGCGCATCACTAGAAAGATTGATAAAGCTCTATTATTGATCATTTTGTTAAGGATTTTGCTGTTCAGTTTGTTGTTTGTTTAACTGCTGATTTGCTTACCGTTGGAGCCAACGAGAAATAAAGGGGAGCTTGAATTCGTAATTTCACTTGTATTCCTATTCATTGCATCAAGAGCGTTTGTGGTCATTGGTCGTGGAGAGCTCAAGGACTGGAAGGACTGGAAATTGTAAGGGGTATCTGCTCTCTTTTAAGAGCAGCTATCTCCTCTTACGCTCCTTTACGAATGTTTCTTTCTTATTCTTGGTGATTAAAGGAAGATCCACGATAAGGTCGGAAGAGGTCGGAGGAGAGGACAAATACCTAGTGCACAGGCAGGGTATCGCAGCGAAGGTATGCTCCTAGAGGGCTACCAGGACCATACCGCGCCGCTCGCGCCGCTGCCCGCCCACCCCTCGTCGTCTTACTCTAGCCGATCTAGCAGGGAGTTGGGCGTTGGTGCGATCAGCACCGATGAAACACGCGTAACGCGTAAAGCAAAGGCAAAAAAGGCAAGTTATATTTCGCTAGCTCTAGGTCATTTCTCTTGCTTTTTTCTCATCCCTGCATCACTGACAACTTCTACTTTGAATTCTGGAGCTGTCTTTTCATCGTAACCCCCCCCCCCTAATTGAGGACGGAGAACCGGTG